TTCTGCTAATGCCTACAGCAGTAGCTTTCAACCAGTGTGCTGTGGCACCCTGGGGTGCCTTGAATGATGGTCAGGGGTACCACGGGCAACTCTGGCCTCTGTCCCTCTCTACTTCCCTCCCTCCTCTGATGTGCTCTCATGTCTCTGCCTCCCAAACAGCTTCCACGACTGTTTATTGCAGCAGCCCTGGCTATAAGCTCCACAGATGAATGGTGCCTCTGGGAAGCACCTCTCTTTGGGGCAGGAGGGGGCAGCTCAGAGACCAAGGATAGCAGCAGCAGCCGCCTGGAGGACTCTCAAGGGGAGAGGAGGCTGAGGGAGCCCTCCACAAGGGAGGGTGTTCCAAAAAGGGTGAGAGGCTGCCAGCTCTGCAGGCAAGGGGTGACAAAACTGGGCTCCTGTAGTTGCTTAAGAGAGCTGTGGACTCAAAAAGCTTGAAAACCTCTGGCCTACAGAATGTTGTTTGCACCCTTTGCGGTCAGAATTATTATTATTATTATTATTATTATTATTATTATTATTATTATTATTATTATTATACCCCAACAAAAAGAGAAAGTGGGTTTTCTCTTTGAAAGTCAGACTAAATTTGCATCTATGTGGATAGATTAGGATATGGAAATTGTATGCAAATTTGTGCCATGGTCCTGTGCCCAACACCTTGTACCAAGACAAACCCCTTTGCTAGAAGATGGTGAGATGTTTTGTGCTAGATCGGTTTTTCATCAGCAGCCAGAAAAAAGCAGCTTCCTCAGATAAAAGGAAAGCTTAACTCTGCCATGAAGTTTGCTCCAAACTACTGTAGAACTGAACTCTGACACAGCCTCAGTCCTTGCCCCAACTGAGTGCTGGTACTATGCTTTATCAGTACTTACCAACACAACAGCAACCATCTTCCTTCTTTGTGTGTTTGCATTGTGAGCCTTTCTATTTAAAAAGTTCCCTCTTCACCCCACCACACCACCTCCAAAACTGGCTAATACACGACATAGTTCAAAATAAAACTTGAGGATTTCTCCATTTTAGGAAGAGAAGAGTATAAATAACATCTGTTTACCAGTGGCTTCTTTTTCTTTTCCCTCTTCTAGGGACGGAAGGGATAATACTTACCTCCGGACTTGAGGCAAAGCAGAATACAGAACGCAAGCAGGCAGACCTGAGCCACATGTAGGCCCTGGTTATCCAGAAAGAAGCTCTTCCCCATTGGAAATGCTTTTTGTATGAAGAAGCTGCTCTGAAGGTTGACAGATGAGAGACTGCTGGCTTGCAGTGTCGATAAACAGAAGTCGCTCAACCTCTCGTCAGCAATGTGATGCTCAGGATGAGGAGCTGGGTCCAAGACATCCCTTATATAAGGCTGGAAGCACCTTGTTGGCTTCTAGCCTCATTCTGGTTGGCTTGGAAGGTACAATAAGCCTCTGGCAACATGCTAGAGTGTTGCTCTAGCAGCAGGAATGAAGGGCAGTGGTTGCCTTTAGATATTTGATGCACAACATGCTGATTGTTAAGACAAATTCAGTTGGCTGAGGGGTGAGGTTGAAGCTGCACAGAATGTCCCAGACCTCAGAAGCCACCTGATACTATCTGATGTGTGTTCCTGGCAATTAGCAATACATCCATTGTATAAGGCTGGGAGGAACCTTGTTGACTTTTCGCTTCATCCCGGGGATCTTGAAAGGTAGAGGACACCTCTGCCAATGTGCTGGGATGGCTCTGAAGAGCAACACAGGTGTGGGCAGAAGTTCCTTGGGCTCTTTGGCACACAATGTACTGACTATTTAGACAAATCCAAATGGCCTAAAAGATCAGCTGAATGCTGCACAGAATGTCCCATATATCGGTGGCCCTCTGGTGCTATCTGAACAGGGAAGGATTATTATCAAAAGAAAGGCCTGTTGCTTTCAACTAACAAGACATCCAAGGAAACAAAGACAACAATAGTTCTGCAGCCATCCTGTATAAATTTCTTTGGCAATAGATTCCGCTGAGTTCTTTGGAAGTAAGCAAGAATATTGGATTGCAGGCTATGCCTCTATGACCAGGACAGATATTCCTCCATAGTGTACACCTTTCTGCAGGCATATAATGCTTTTTGTATGTCCTTTTCACTAATAAATTCACTTTAATGCAGTTTCCACTAGTACATGCATTTTTTGTGAATATTTGATGACTGCACTGCAAAATTCAGATGAATGTAAATTTTTGAAGGATATCTGTGTTTTGGTTCTCAAATTGTTTCAGAGAGTAAAAAAATCAGGTACCGACATACCAAAGGAGCAGAAGACTCTTTATGTATGGAACAACAGTCGCCCGGATGTTACTAGCCCAGAAATGGAAAGAAGACAAGGTCCCTACCAGAGAAGAATGGCAAACAAAGCTGATGGACTATGCCAAGATGGCAAAGCTGACTGTAAAACTCAGAAACCAAGAGGATAAAAACTATAAAAGAATGGGGGGAAACTGATAAGTTACTTAGGAGACCACTGTAAGCAGATGGAAACAAGAGCAGGATTTTGACTCACTTGAAGTGGGGGAAAACCCCCACCATGGACAATATGGTTTGATATAAAAATTGGAGTATGGATGAATATGCAATTGTATATATTCAAAATAAGACTCCATGAAGGGGATGGGGGGAAGTCTCGAGATTCGGAGAATCTCATAGAGATATGCTTTTACTCGTTTGTGTTTATTTGTAAAACCAATAAAAAATATATTTTTTTAAAAAAAGTAAAAAAATTCAATAGATTTGGCTTTAAATGCAAATTGATTTGAGCTTCTCCTCCATCGCTAGTGCTACATGGGGGAAAGGGTTGGTAAACACAGCTCTAAGTACAGTGGTACTTCGGGTTACATACGCTTCAGGTTACATATGCTTCAGGTTACAGACGCTTCAGGTTACAGACTTCGCTAACCCAGAAATAGTGCTTCAGGTTAAGAACTTTGCTACAGGATAAGAACAGAAATCAGGCTCCGGCGGTGCAGCAGCAGCAGGAGGCCCCATTAGCTAAAGTGGTGCTTCAGGTTAAGAACAGTTTCAGGTTAAGAACAGACCTCCGGAATGAATTAAGTACGTAACCCAAGGTACCACTGTACATTCAGTTGAATGTGCAAAGTTTCCCCCTTCAGTCCTTTTGCTCAGCAGATGAAATGCTCAAGCTGTGAAAGCAATGTTGAGGCAGAGCTAGCACAAGTGAGTTTTGTTTGTTTTTTCCACTCACCCTGCTTCTTTCAGACGCTCAAATCAGCCCTGCTCCCCATTGTGTGTGAAAGCAAGGCTGTCAATTTCCCCCAATGTGTAAGAGGACAGTGAGCAAATATGACCAGGGACCGAATTTGACCAGAGACTAAAATCCATTACTTAAATATTTATTGCAACTTTCAGGGACAGTGTTTTCAAGGAAAAATCAAGATACAATCATTACATGGGAAGCAAAACAGAATATAGATTGCCACTTAACTTTTAAACTTTGATATAAATATTAAGAAAAGAGAGAACAATATAAAAGAGAGATAGTCAATTTATAAGATCGAGAACAGCGATGGGAATATCGGCCTGAAAAGAATTTTTTAAAAATTGGTAACATAACCTAAAAAATGAGGCATTCAACTCCCGAGAATGCAACATAATGCAATCTAAGCTCACTCTCATTTCCTTTTAATGAACTTTGCTACCATCCCTACCACAGACTCATATTTCCAACAACATCTACTGTAATTTGCCCAGTTCAAGCAAGGAGTCCTCAAGTCTCTGGTCATAATTAGGCATTTTAGGCCTCATTGTCAGGTGTGGGGCTGGCAAATGTGGGCTGTGTAAAGCAATGCTTAGCCGGCAACTATGAACTCACCCAGGAACATCCCACCCCACCCTAATCTCTAAGACAATTGTGCATTTGAAGGTGGGGGCGGGGCTTATTTTGAAAACTTCCAGAGAATGAAGGAATGCATAAATGAGTGGACAGAAGTGAATGGTCCTCCTCTCTAGAGCACAGAGGAGAACTGAAGGAGCTGAGAACTGAAGGAGCATTTCATTCACAGCTAGGGATAACCAGGTGTTCTTATGATGGGAACTGTGCACTGTGAAGCGGAGGCTCTCCTGTGATCATGGGGGCTCCCTCTGCATTCAGGACTCTGGAAAATAATTGATCTAAAACGTGTGTGGGAACCTTCAGAAGTCTCCCCACAAGGCACAGCCATCCTCCTATTTGTGGAGGGTCATTTGGGTGGCGTATTGGTAGTAGAGCCTGCGGATTTGCCCTTCCACCCAAAGCCCCTCAAGAGATTACAGTACCATATTTTTTGCTCCATAAGACACACTTTTTTCTTCCTAAAAAGTAAGGGGAAATGTCTGTGTGTCTTATGGAGTGAATGTGTGGTCCCTGGAGCCGAATTGCCCAGGAGCAAAAAGCAGATCATGCTTTTTTTTTTTTTTTTTTTTTTGGAAAGAGGGAAGTGGGTGTTGAAAGGAAGGAGCTGATGCGCAAGCGATCGGGAGGGAGATAAGGGACCCTAGAGATAAAGGAGGCTGCCTGGGAGGGGGGAGGTAAAGACAGCAAACTTGCAAAGGGGGGAGACAGGAAGACTAAAACAATGAGGAGAGAAATTAGAAGAAAAGGAGGAGCAAAAAACTGCTCCAGCTAAGGAAAAGACACTAAGGCAAACAAGAGGGAAGGCGGTGTTGAAACAAAGCCGCTAATCTGCAAGAGATCGGGGAGGGAGATAAGGGATGCTAGAGATAAAGGAGACTGCCTGGGAGGGGGAGGTAAAAGCCCATGGATCCTTGGGATTTTTGCATTGGGTCACCCCAAATTCATCATCAGATCACATAGCATGTCTATGGCTACAGCCTGCACCAAAAAAATTATGCACCCACTATTTCCTGGGGCTGCAGTGGTGCAAAAATGTGGTTACAAAGCACGGATCCACATGGATCCTCAGGATTCTTGCCTGGGGTCCCCAAATTCACCATCAGATCACATGTCTGTGGACACAGCATGAACCACAAAAACCATACATCCACTGTTTCATTCAGATTTTTTTTTCTTGTTTTCCTCCTCTAAAAACTAGGTGCGACTTACGGTCAGGTGCGTCTTTTGGAGCGAAAAATACGGTACATGCCATCAAAATGGCAACAGAAGTCTTTTGTCTGTCATTTGGATTACAGTTCATGAAGGCCTGACTTCCACCGTGGGGAAGGGACAGAAAGAATTGCTTAATATTTATTGTGTCTTTCTGAGATCCGCACTCAAAAGCAGCAGCTTTTGAGCAGACGGTGATAGTGGTTAGATTGATTGGATTGGAATCATTGCATTCTTACAACGCTTCGTATTTCCATTCAAATGCACCCCCAAAGCAGCTTCCAAAACAAAATAGCAAACTGAGGAGGGAAGGAGGGAAGGGAAAGGCTGATGGGTTAAAACAACTTAAGGATATTCATCAGAACAGTAGTCGTGATAACAGCATGTCATTTTCTCTCTGCGATATTCATGCAATTCCTGTCCACACAAGTATTTTAATGGCAAAGAGCCACAGAATTTTTGCATTTCAATAAATTCATCCGTGCCGGCTGGAGAGAAAAGGGGAAATATTTGTGTTAGTATTAACGAGTGAACGATGACAACTTTGTGGACTTTGTCCACAGAACGTATCAAAACAGAAGAGAACATATTTAAAGCTAAAATAAAATTCATTTCAACTCCATTTTTTTAAAGGTATACCTAAAACAGAATCTCAGATTTATTCTGCAAAAGCTACTACAATGTCAACATTAAAATAAAAGTTGCAACATATGAACGATGCATGTCAAAATAAATACATATCCTTAAATCTCAGAATTTCTGCTGCAATTGTTTAAAATAGGTTGCAAACACCTTTTTCCTCAGACTGCAAAAGAGGCTGCCTTCCAAATGACGTATCAGTTTGCTCCTTGTAATAAAAAAAGGAAGCCTCATTTTCATCCTATCTGCAGTATTTCATCTTCTTAAGTAAGGCCCCCTATGCTTTTGAATTATGGTGCTGGAGGAGACTCTTGAGAGTCCCATGGACTGCAAGAAGATCAAACCTCTCCATTCTGAAGGAAATCAGCCCTGAGTGCTCACTGGAAGGACAGATCCTGAAGCTGAGACTCCAATACTTTGGCCACCTCATGAGAAGTGAAGACTCCCTGGAAAAGACCCTGATGTTGGGAAAGATGGAGGGCACAAGGAGAAGGGAACGACAGAGGATGAGATGGTTGGATATTGTTCTCGAAGCTACCAGCATGATTTTGACTAAACTGCGGGAGGCAGTGGAAGACAGAAGTGCCTGGCGTGCTCTGGTTCATGGGGTCACGAAGAGTCAGACACGACTAAAAGACTAAACACCAACAACAACACGTAAGGCCCATCACATGTGTGATGTGCTTTGATATAAGAACAGAGCTGGCATTCCAGGATACAATGAGGCAAATCTTCTAGTTTTGCTGCCCCCACAGTTACTTAGACAGAGTTATCTGCCCATTTATCTCGCCCGTGGCACATGCTCCCATCCCCACCACACTTTGTGGCCTTCTGCTTTCAGGCTGGAATGCCTCAGCAGCATTTTTGTCATGCCCGATTATGAAAGGTGATGGACTTCACAGTTTGGCACCTTTTTCAACCTTGGCAAACTGAGGGTGCAGGAATTTGAGCCATTTCAAGGCTAGCATTCCCACAGCAGTCTGAGGGGAGATGAGACCATGGCTGCAGTATTTCGTCTTTTTTGCAATTTTTCTCTTACCATTTTAAAATGTCTCTCAGTCTGCTAGCTGCTTCAGTGGCGTGGAAGACAGAAGCCCTGCAGAACTTTTGTGGCACCCTGCTGCTCTTTCCTCCAAGAGACATTGGTCCTGGCAAGGACGCTGTCATTTTCAAACCTGGTGGAACTCTGACCCATGGGGACACTGGTGTCTCTTGGAAGGAGAGGTAATGGCAGCCATCGCTCTCTGCTCCTGATACTAGACTGCAAATGCTGAACTAAAGCAGAGCTTTCCAAACTTTTCATGTTGGTGACACACTTTTTAGACATGCATCATTTCATAATTCAGTTTTACTAGCAAACCAGAGGTTAAACTAACCCCTTTTCCAACCCCAGGAGGAGCGTGGGAGTGTTTGTGCAACACACTGCAGCTGACACACTAATGTGTCATGAGACACAGTTTGGGAAGCTCTGAACTAGAGGGACCTTTGATGTGATCCAGCAGGTCTCCTCTCTCTCCTCCATAACATCAGGTCATCCTAGTCATGGCATACAAAAGGGAGGAATATAGACAGGAAAATCCACTTACCTTCAAAAACTTCTCCAATCATACAGTAGTCTCCCGTACATGTACGATCAGTCGGAGTGCATGTCTCCTCTGTGTCCAATTTGGAGCAAAGCCTGCATGTTATAGCATCTGCTGTAAAGGACCAATAATTGTGTTTTATTATTTGTCCCTGCAAACATTGCCCTTATTTAAAACTCGCCACATCAGCTTCATTAGGGGGTAGACCGGGAGTCCCAAGTTGTGGCTCCAAAGAAAAAAAGCTCTGCGCTAGGCAGACAATGGGGAGGGGGGAGACTCCCAGGTGGCAAATGGGAGGGCCCCCTCCCTCTCGCCAGAATTAGTTAGAACAGAAAGGCAGAATTTGAATTAGATTATTCGGAGTTGGCTGGGATGTTACCTGGAGAAAAAAGGTTGCACTCTGGTAAAGGAGGCAAGTTAGAGAGAGGATCAGAGCATGGTGGCTGATTTCTGTTTTGAATCCACAGTTGCGGCTGTGGGATAAGCAAGACCAGGGGTAGGCAACCTAAGGCTCTGGGGCCGGATGCAGCCGAATCACCTTCTCAATCCAACCCACGGACGGTCTGGGAATTGGCATGAGCAGAATGTGTGCTTTTATTTAAAATGCATCTCTGGGTTATTTGTGGGGCATAGGAATTCATTCCCCCCCCCAATGTAGTCTGGCCCACCACATGGTCTGAGGGACAGTGGACCGGCCCACAGCTGAAAAAGGTTGCTGACCTCTGAGCAAGACCCTTTTGGGGTGTCAATGCCATGAACACCTCCATCGTAGGCTCGGATTGCATATATGTATAAATAAACCTTATGTTATAAAGACAGCACAGTCGCCGCTGTGCCTCATTCCCAAAATGAAACACAAACCCTGGTTTAGCATGCCTGGAACCCCTGAAATCTTGTGCTGATCAGAGATTGGAGTGGTGTACAACAATAATAACACATCCGTAGCCCTGGCGTGTTAGTTTGTGTGTTCACAGAGTTAGCCTTTCAGAAACAGTTGAATCCCAAACACACACAGCCTAAGCCAATACAGGGAAGCCACGTCTTATTCAGACTTTACTTAAGCGATCCCAAGTTTGGCAGGGAAATGATGAATCAAATGGAAAATGGGTGGGGTGGGTGGAAAGAAGGGCTGGTGGCTGGTCCAGGCAGAGCAACACCCCCACCCTCCCTACACACAGAGGCCCCTTCTCTTCCTTTCCACAGCTGGCTCAGAAAAAGCAACCCACCCGAATCCTGTCCCCCAGGCTGGGTGCATTGGATGAGGGCAATTACTAGAGCATCAGCAGCCGCCCCGGAAAGGAGTGGAGCAGCAGAATGGGAAACCTGGCATGAAGGGAGCTGTTAAGAGACCCACTGTACTGTAAGCAACCTGGAGGGCTTAACAGATCTTTCTCCACACCAGTTTTCCATATGCAAAGAGGAATCCAGTAAATGGCTTGGGGTGGAAGAAAGTTTATTTCTAAACAAAAGGTCTGCATCTTTGCAGGGAGACAACAGAGGCAGCATCAGCTAGAAAAATACTGAGGGAGGAGAAGAGAAACTGTGGGAAGAAGTGGGGCTTCTCAAGACCCGAGTAAGTAAACTGGAGGGCTTAACTCAGAGCTCTTAGGGGCTGGAGGTGGTTCTGGGGATTGCTTTAGCTTTGTACAATTTTGTTTATATGCACAACCCCTGGAAATTAAGCACCACTACCACAAAAGGCCAGACCATAGCACCGCTCAAAGCACTTGCAGGGTTTCTTCACTTTAGGAAGACAGGCAGATGAATTATATACATTAACTAGTATCTTGTTTTTCTTTTACCTCTTGTAAGGAGGCATGGGGATGAAACTTACCCCCGGACTTGAGGCAAAGTAGAGCACAGACTGCGAGCAGCCAGGCCTGAGCCCAACGTGGGCGCCGATTATCAAGAAAGAAGCTCTGTCCCATTGGAAAATCTTTTCTTACTGAGAGACTGGTTTCCGAAGGCTGACGGCTGAGGGACACACTTGCCTCTGTGGCAATAAGCTGTAACAGGAGCACAGCTTCTAGTAAGGAACACGCCCCACAGTTTGAAGGACAAGGTTCAAAACAGCTTTTATAAAAGGGATGGGAGGAACCTTCCTAGCTTCTTGGGACATGTGATCCTTGTGGGCTTGAAAGATATGAGAAGCCTCTGGCAATGTGCTGGGGTGGTTCTGAAGAGTGATGGGGATGTGGGTAGCGGTTCCCTTGGGCTCTTTGGGGCATAATGTACTGATTGTTCAGACAAATACAAACGGGCTAAGGAGGAACCAGCTGAATGCTTTACAGAATGTCCCAGGCAGCAGTGGCTTCCAGATGCTATACAACATTGAAGGAATGCTTGTTCCTTTTGGTGGGTTTTCTGTCCACCTCCATATTTCTTGGTTGATCGAGTCCCACGGGATCAAAGCTGCGATTGATGCTTGCAAGTGGGGGCGGGCTGGTTGGTTAGTCAGTTGGGTGAAGCCACTTTATGTTCCATGCTGACTGCAAGGACTTGGAGAAACACCCGTGTATGCTATGGTTGTGCTAACTGATTTGAGTTCCATCAATAGTCCATCTATTTTTAGACCATACATAGGTCCCTGTAACCACACCAGGTGATTTCATGCCTCGCCTTCACATCTTCATAGAGTTTTGCGGCTCCACAATATGAGCTATAGATGCCAATGTATCAATCATAGCATTGTAGAGTTGGAAGGAATCTCAACAGTCATTTAGTCCAACTCCCTGCAATGGAGGAATTTCAATTAAAGAACCTCTGGCAGATGGTCATCCAAACCTCCAATGAAGGAGACTCTGCCACTTTCTAAAGGAGTCTGCTCCACTGTCAAACAACTCCTACTGTCAGAAAGTTCTTCCTAATCTATCAACATATAGATGTGGTGATGCATCAATCACTGGGGTAGTGGGAAGAGAACATGATTTGTTTGTGTTACTGTATCTTGGTGGGTATAAGCTGTGGATCCAAACCATGGGGGACCACTAACTGTCAGGAGTTCAGCGTACACTCGAGTAGGACCCCGGCAGAGACACATGCCCAACTGGCATGTTCCCTCCCTCTTGGTTGATCGTTAAGGAGCTTCAAAAGCTTTCGCCAGCCCGAACATCACAGCGACCGATGTCAACAGACACCGGCACACTTAGGGATCCACAGAGTCTGCACAGTTCGCATGACAGACCTCAGCAACTCAGCATTTTGGCTAATCTACTTTATTTACATGTATACACACACAGAGCACTGCAACATGTCTCCCTCTCTCTCTAGCATCAGACAGCAAAGAGAAGGGGGGGAAAGACAATAGTCCCACTTCACGGAACACAGTAACACAAACATCCTGTCTCCGTCACTTCCCACTCTGTGGAGTCAAAACATACACCATCATGTGATAGACAACAATCGCATGACTGCAAACATGGAGCAGGAATTCTAACCCCTCAAAGTCCTCAGTTATTGGGCAGGTATATGAGGGATTAGGTGGTTCCTGAGGTATCTTGGACCCAAATTGTTTAGAGGCTTGAAAATCAATACAGCATCCTTAAACCTGGTCCACTAGCCTAGGGGCAGCCAATTCTCTTAATCGAGCAGTTAAATCTTGAATAACTGGCTGCACAGATGCTACTGAAGCTCTGGCACTGAATAAATAACGTCAGAAAATCAAAGTGTGGTACTTAACCATGCTTGGAAGTTGGCACTGTAGAATTTAATGGCATAATTGTGGGAGTAGTTCCTATTAATCATTGCAGGCAATTGGCAACTTGCATGGAGGGAAGAGTGAATCTGTTGACCAGCGAGTAATAGCTTTTTCCACCAGTCTTGCCCCATCTTCCAGCCCTGGAGCCCTCATAAGGAAGTTGTTTCCAGAGAAAGACTCTGTTTGCCCACAGGGGGTGGTTGGTTTCACCTGTGCTACTCTACTTCCAGCCCAAGGAACCTTCAGAAGCCAGTTGCTGCCATGGGCGTTGGGTGTATGTGCACTTTAATGAACTGAAGAAAGGGAAGGATTATGAGTCATGGGAGTTGCAGAGCATTTGTGTATGAACTAAGCGGCCTCGGCCCAGTATACATGAAGGAGCGTCTCCACCCCTATTGTTCTGCCCATACACTGAAGTCCAGCTCCGAGGGCCTTCTGGCGGTTCCCTCACTGCAAGAAGTGAGGTTACAGGGAACCAGGCAGAGGGCATAGAAATAAACAGCTATCTGACTTTTAGAAGACATCTGAAGGCAGCCCTGTTTAGGAAAGCTTTTAATATTTGATGAATTATTGTATTTTAATATTTTGCTGGAAGCCGCCCAGAGTGGCTGAGGAAACCCAGACAGAGGGGCGGGGTGTAAATATTATTATTATTATTATTATTATTATTATTATTATTATTATTATTATTATTACAGTGCTGGGTTTATTATTTGGCTGCTGTCAAGCCAACATACCAACGTACAGCACTGTGATACAATATGAGAGGACACTTTCTATTATGGACCGGTGAAAGGAAGTCATCAATTGTTGTTTAACATTATTGGTCTTTCGCAAAACCCTGAGGAAATGGAGTCTCTGTTGGGCCTTCCTAACCACCTGAGTTCTATTGTTTTTCCAAGTGAGGTCTTCACTAAGGTAAACTCCCAGGAATTTAAAGGAAGAGACTTTCTCCACACAGCCTGTTAGTTTCTGTTTCCCACTGAGCAGCTGCTTGGAGTCACAGGACTCTGTTTACATTCCAGAGACCTTCCAGACTGTTGGAAGTCTCACGGGAGGGGAGAAGGGATGTGACGTTAGTGGTTTCCTGTTCCTTTGTTCAGTTGCTCTCTGCTTTCATAGAGAGAGGATGTATATTTCTTTGCTGTCTGTGTAGTGAGAAATAAAGCATAGCATGTAGCCATAAATCTCATCACTTCCCTGTGCTGGAAGCTCTGCTGGATGGGAATGTGCCTGAGGCCTTATCAGAGGCTCAGGTCGTTAATTATTCGTCGGGAGGGCTATTCCGAAGGCTCAGCTGGAAAATGAGCTTTATCAGCTTGGCCGAGCAAAGATTCCGACACAGCCCCCCCCCCCCGATATACAACGGGGCTAGTTCTCCTCTCTTCCTCCGAAAGTCCAACACCATCTCCTTTGTCTTGCTAATATTTAGGTGCAAGTTATTCTCTAGGCACCATGTAGATACTTTTTGAACACCCCCCCCCCCGTACACTGATTCATCTCCACCTGTATTTAGACCCATTATGGTAGTATCATCTGCAAACTTAATAATTACAGTGGATGGATCAGATGAAATACAGTCATATGTATACGACGAGTACACACATCCCTGTGGAGTGCCAGTGCTGAACCTCAGGGAGGTAGATGTAACACATTGACTGCTTGCAATAAACTTTCCTTTTACATCTCCTGGTGTGTGCTGCGTGGTTTCGGGGTGTTTGTTTGTTTTGAAATGTGCTGTTGATGGGCGGTGCAAGTGCATGTTTGGGGTGCCTGCAGCAGCTGTCACGAGCTTCATGTGCATTTGTTTACTGGTTGCAGAGTTGGCGCATGCAGCTGTGTTATGGGCCGTGCCTATGGTGGGCTGGTGGGTGGCAACTGGTTGACGGTGCTGTGGTTGCTATGGACACCATGTATGCCCGTTCTCTGTCCCCATGGGATGTGCGTGAGCGCTCTTGAAGTGGCAATGCCAAGATAAGATCCTTGGGACCCATTTGTAGAGCCATGGGACAGCGCCTCCTAAGCAGCTGCTCTCTGGTTTTAGGGTTTCTTCCCTCTTCACTGGCAGGGTCTTGCTCAGCCAGTGTTGGTTCATCCCAGAGGCTCCTAAGCAGTCCTAGGCAGAGAGCCAGTGTGGTGTAGTGGTTAAGAGCGGTAGTCTCATAATCTGGGGAACCGGGTTCGCGCCTCCGCTCCTCCACATGCAGCTGCTGGGTGACCTTGGGCCAGTCACACTTCTTTGAAGTCTCTCAGCCCCACTCACCTCACAGAGTGTTTGTTGTGGGGGAGGAAGGGAAAGGAGAATGTTAGCCGCTTTGAGACTCCTGAAGGGGAGTGAAAGGCGGGATATCAAATCCAAACTCTTCTTCTTCTTCTTCTATTTCTCTGGGAAAACAGGAGCTGGAACTCACCATAAACACCTCCCTCATTCTCTTAGAATGGCAATGCTGCCCACCTGAGAGGTGCCAGAACTGACTTCCCGTGAGTTCCCCCTTAAAGAAAACCCTGCTCCTAAGCACCATTTGGGGTAGAGGTCACTTAATTGTGCTGGGAGTGTTTCTGCTGACTTCCTGTCATGAGGATTGATCCATTTGGGTGTATCTCTTTATAAACATTTATTTTTCACTCATCTGCTTCTGTCATCCGCTCAAGCCAGCTCCCACCATGCTTCTCTGTAGGGGACACGGGTGGCGCTGTGGTCTAAACCACTGAGCCTCTTGGGCTTCCTGATCAGAAGGTTGGCAGTTCAAATCCCTGCAACGGGGTGAGCTCCCATTGCTCTGTCCCAGCTCCTGCTAACCTTGCACTTCGAAAGCACACCAGTGCGAGTAGATAAATAGGTACTGCTGTGGTGGGAAGGTTAACGGCATTTCTGTGCGCTCTGGTTTCCATCACAGTGTTCCGTTGCACCAGAAGCGGTTTAGTCCTGCTGGCCACATGACCCGGAAAGCTGTCTGTGGACAAACGCCGGCTCCCTCGGTCTGAAAGCGAGATGAGCGCAGCAACCCCATAGTCGCCTTTGACTGGACCTAACCGTCCAGGGGTCCTTTACCTTTTTACCTCTCTGTGACTGCACCAAAGTTGCTTAATCTCAACCTATTAGTCTATTTTTATAATGGTTTATTTACAACGGGAGGCAGTGATAGCCACTGAACTAGATGGGTTTAAAAGAGGATTGGACAGATTCATGGAGGGGAAAGCTATTGATGGCTACACGCCATGAGGCAGCAATGCTTATAAACACCAGATTCTGGAAACCACAGGAAGGGAGAGTGCTCAAATTCTGCTTGTGGGTTTGTCATGGACCTGGTAGGCCTCTGTGAGAACTGGATGATG